AAAGCTCTCAGAGAGCTCTCAAAAGCGGACATAGGAGCTCTCAGGGGGCTCCGTGCGAGTTCGTTTGAAGTTCAAATGAAGCTTATGACCAATTTTTTAGAGCTCCCCGGGAGTTCCCCGTGCTGTGTGGGTACGTACGTTTTATTGCATTTTATTGCATTATGGCTACATTGTTACATTGCAATATTGCTGCAGTCTTGCATTTTCATATTGCTGCGTAGTTGCATTGCAATATTGCTGCCCAGTGAGAAATGATTCGTCGATCGATGTCGAAACGATGTCGAATCGACGTCAATTTGACGGTATCGATGTCGATTCGACATCGTTTTGACATCGATCAACGAATCATTTCTCACTGGGTGCAATGTTGCATTGAAATATTGCTGAAGGCGGACATTCTAATGTTGCTGCAATGATGCAATCTTTCAAAACAATGTCTCTGCAACGTTGCTGCAATATTTCCGTGCTGTATGGGACAGTTGCAAAGCAGCTTTTTCTGCTGAACTCGGCCAATGAAACGGTTCCGAGCGGGATAATTTCAGTGCGTTTCGGAGCGCGCCTCGAGCGAGTCGCAGCGAGATCGGCCAATTGCGCGTCTCACTTGACGTCGCCGAACACCCGATTGGTCGACTCGACTGGAGCCTCGTTCAGTGTCACGGTCAAAAAGCTTTGCGATGAGTCGCGCAAGCCCGTCTGAACGGAGCGTAATGGGCAGACTTTTTCCATTGGCCGAGGAACCGTGTCACGTGTCCGTGGCAATCGCCTCGTCGAGCTTTGCGTCGCTCGTAGCGGATCTCGCGACACCATCCGACCCGATACAGTCCGTCGCGGCGATTCTCGTTTGAGGAGCTCGTACTATCTCGCCGTCGAAACGACGCCGCGGGAAGCTGTCGGCGCGACTGGCCAAAGGATTCGCACGAGAAACGCGCGGCCGTGGCCGTGTCATGGGCCACCGAGAAGCGAGGCCTGTTGCTACGCCAGCTTCGTGACTCATCGCGCGAGCGATCGACCCACTTGTCACCGTTGCCTGTGACAAGTGCGTACACGCGCGCGCCAGGTGACAGCGATCTATCTCTCTCTCTCTTCCTCTCACGAGTCTCGTCGCCTTCGACGCGATCGGCGTGTTTCCGATCGCGAGCCCTCGTCATCGGCGCCGTGTCGCGGAGAAGCACCGAGGAGCGATCGTTACGTCCTAACTGGTTAGTTCAGTTTGATGTTATTTACGCTGGCGGTTAGAACCGCAGGCAGTCGCGTGGCCTCAACTTGGAGTTCGCGTTCAGGCGCGAACGAGCGTATCGATCGCGAGGATATTTGTGTCGCTTTCGCGTAATCGGATTTGTCTAATCTAGCTGGTAGCGTCGGCCGACAGCCCGGAGATGGACGCCGGATTCTCGTCGTATCACAACGGCGGCCCCACGCGGGAGCAGGACTTCGGCAGGTTGTCCCAATCGATTGGCACCTCGATACTCAAGATATCGCAAAATGGTAGGTTCCCCGGTCACTGGAACTGTGACTCGGTACTCATTCCGATGGTTTGCTCGCAGTGTCTTCCATGCAGAAGATGGTCAATCAGCTGGGCAGCTCCACCGATTCTCAGGAACTCAGGAATCAGCTGTGAGTGATGATATTCAATTCCCTAGCCGCTGACTCATCCGACACGATTTAACTCGTGATCTAATCGCGCGTTTATACGTCACCGTTAATTGGGCTTAATAACGTCTAGTATTACAACATGCTTCCAAAATCAATCACAACTATTCCTCTGAAGAATTACTGTAATTGGCCAACCTCTTGACTACGAATTAAACCCGACCAATGTCCGTTTCTTATGCCCGTTTCTGCCAACGCAGTTTGACTTTAATCTCGGTTCAACTTGCTTTGTATCCTTTTCTAGTTTCACGAATAATGCACATTTCTACCAATGCAGACTAACTTCACCTCGGGTTAACTTATTTTTTATCTCCTAGTTTTGGCAATTGGAAACAGATAAAAACTTAGTGATATAGGGATTAAAATTAATCCACATCGGTAGAAATGGGTATGAGAAAAAGATAAGTGATTTACGAAAGGAGACTTTGCTTATTGTCACCAGTAATGATTAAAAATTAAGACGAGAAACTTGTAGTCAACCCAACTGGCTAGTTATTTAATTAGTTTATTACACAACGATCCTTTTTACTTATTAACCTACATTGTTCATAACTGCGTTGTTGTTGTTGATGTGCAGTATCACTCGAAAAGGACCCAAAAGAATAGGGTCGAAACGTTGTGTGTAATAAACTAATTAAATAACTAGCCAGTTGGGTTGACTGTAAGTTTCCCGTCTCAATAAGTAATTTAAACTGGGATTAAAGTTAATCTGCATTGGTAGAAACGGGCATTATACCAAAATGTCATTTAATCTCAATTTCTTTTCCATCTTTTTTCAACTCTCAGAACTGGAAAAAGGTGAAAAGAAAGTTAAACCGAGATCAAAATTAGTCCGCATTGGTAGAAATGGACACAAGGGTGTTGTGTAGCAACGCTCAATGACTGAGAGGAGGAATTAAATCTTGTAAGAGTATCTCCCGATAAACAGAGAAGAGAGTTTCATGTAATCGTTTTGCAGGCATCAGATACAGCACTACACGCAGCAGCTGGCGAAGGACACCAGCGTTCACCTCCGAGATTTGGCCATGCTGGCGAATAACTCGGGCTCCACGAGCCCTGGCGAGCAGAGGCAGCGGAAAATGCAAAGGGAGCGCCTTCAAGACGAATTTACCAGCGCGCTGAACTCTTTTCAAGTAAATATCGGTGTTGGTGCATTTCAATATCCGACATGTTATCGTTAACTGCTATTCGATTTAGGCCGTGCAAAGACTAGCTGCCTCCAAGGAGAAGGAAATGGTTAGGAGGGCTAAGGCTAGTGCAGGTATCGCGCCATTCGGAGAGAAGAAGCAGGATACGCTCATCGAGCTGCAAGATAGCAGAACGTATGGGAGCGATCATGCGAAGCAGCAGCAGGACCAGCTGCAGGAGCAGATGAATTTACGAATGCTGGAAGAGCAGGAAGCTAGTATAAAACAGTTGGAGGTGAGTTCTTCGAGATTGACGACGATACATGTGCGTCAATTTTACATACGTAATTGAGGAGTTTGGTGGAAGAGCGACTTAATTTTAAGTTTTTGTCAAAATTTTATTCAAAGCTTTAAAATTGAAAACTTACTTATTGACCCAATTATAAGAGTCCAAACACATACCCCATACAGCACAGGTAGATTCTGAGTATATACGCGGTATATCGCAAACGTAGATTGTGTATATTCCATTAATATTCAAAATACGTACCACAATATTTTGAGAATGTACGGAGGATGTTTCTATGTCTGTCCTAGAAGCCTACTCAGTATATACTGAGAATATTTCTTGGTATATCATGAGTATATTAATAAAATATGTTGATCACATATACATGTATAATTGCCTGGTCAGGTTTTCCTTATCAAGACCTCATGACTTGCCCCTTGTTACACCTTATAATTTCTAATAAAAGGGTAATGAGGTATCAGTAGGCTTCCTATTAAAAATATTTAACTTTCTAACTTAATTTTTAAAGTGCGTTAAATTATGTAATCATCGAAAGTATATTCAGGTCATTGAAGTTTATCCATGATCCAGAAAACAAACTGTCATATCAGATCGGCTCGCCTTTTAACTAATACAGAATGATTTTTACTTACGAGAAAGGCTAACGCGCGGTCGCCACGTCGCGGCAGTGAGTGGTTACTATTACTACATGTTCTGAAAATATACGAGAATATGCGAAAAATAATATACTACTAAAAATGTTATAGGGATGATCTCACTATGTTAAATACAGTACAAATAATAAGGATAACGTCGACAATTAACTGGCACAATGTATTTCGTTTAGAACATACAACGTTTCGACCAGTAATACTGGTCCTTATCAAGTATTAAAAAAAATTCCTTAACCCATTAGATGTGACAGCAAAAAATGGGTAACATTGGTAATAATATAAGAATACATGGAGGAACGAATCACTCTGCACAGTAACACATATGGAGTAGATATAAAATATTTTAAAAAGACGTCAATTGTTGTGAAAGGTCGGTAGAAGACTTTTTTTTTTAATACTTGATAAGGACCAGTATTACTGGTCGAAACGTTGTATGTTCTAAACGAAATACATTGTGCCAGTTAATTGTCGACGTTATCCTTATTATTTGTTCTTTATTTACTGGCGATCCATCTCTTCAAGTTTTTGTTAAATACAGTACGTTTTACAGTATAGTATAATATACTGTAAAAGATGTTCTGAAAACATCCTGGAAATATACAAAAACTGATATACTACAGAAGATATAGAGATATTCTCAGTATATTATGTACAGTACGTACATTCATAGTATGAGTATAGAATATTTGTATAATATCATGTGCTGTCTGGGACTTTATTGATCTGTTGAATACAATTATAAAGCTTTTAGCTTGGCTCTTGTATAAACAACTTGAGTCGAATCAAGTCGTTCTTCCACCGTGAACTCCTCAATTGTACCGTGTACGATATGTAATTATTTATTGGTTTTGCAGAGTAACATTAACGATATCAACCAGATATTCAAGGATCTTGGAGCTTTGGTATACGATCAGGGAGAAGTGATTGATTCTATAGAAGCATCGGTCGAGAGAACCGAGGTGTCTGTCAACGAAGGCGTGTCTCAAGTGAGGCAAGCGAGCATGTACCAGACCAAGTTGCGCAAGAAGAAGTGTATTCTCATAGTGATCGCGGTAGTCATATTGTCGATTTTGATTGGTATCATAGTTTGGCAAAGTAAGTAAAGAAGAAAAAGAGAGGGAAAACGTAAGGTGCATATATGCCAGAGTGTACAGCACAGTATGTGTAGTGCTACAAAAGACGGCGGCCCGTAAACGATTGCAGAATTGCGGGTCGGTAAGATTTCTAGTGACGTTTCTGTCCAGTCTCGATTGTTTCAAAACCACGCAAAGGGCTAGCGTTGTCGTAGAGATGTGAGAGAGTGGAGAAACGCGCTGAATCTTGCGAATTCAATCCATCTAATTGTGATAATCGTAGGTGCGAGCTCTGATTTGCGAATAACATTCTCAACGGCATGTCTAGGGGGGAGAGAGATTGCCGCAGTCCATTTGTACGTTTCAATACTCATAAACTATCAGCGTATAACGATCAACCATATATAATATATACATGCATATATAATTTAGATAACGCGATTATGTATAACAGAGCTAAATACGTATGAACGTGCGCGTGTGCTGTGTAGGATGCTTGTATATGGTAAAGTAACGGAGGTCCTTGTTATCTGCAATGCAACTGTATGTGCCTGTAAAATATCTTAAGAGACTATTCCTAACGGAAACTTGGAGGCGAATGTCTGAGAGAGCATCGTAGTACTTTAAAGATACGTAAAGGGATTGATATAAGTTAATGTATTATATTTAGTTTAGGGATGTCGATTTTTGTTTTAAACAATATACAATAAACAGTATGTATACATAAAAAGACTGGCAAGAGCAAGCTTCGGCTCTAATTATTCTTACCATACAAATCTCGAAATATATACAATTGATAGAGAAAATTTACGCTTTTGATGGAGGCGCTTGGGCGTGTATACATATACATATACAGGGTGTCCTGAAATTCGCGAATCAAAATAGCATAGCAAGAAAGTCGTCGAAAAAATAAATTAAAAAGTTATTTGCCATTTTTCGTTCCGAGCAGTAGTTTTTTTTTAGATAAAAAGGTTCAAAAAAGGCCAATCGTACATTACAATTGAACGGAAACCTGTCCGTGAGTCGCGCGTCGATAGTGTTGGTGCATTAACACTATCGACGCGCGACTCACGGACAGGTTTCCATTCAACCGTAATGTATGATTGGCCTGTTTTGAACCTTTTTATCTAAAAAAACTACTGCTCGGAACGAAAAACGGTAAATAACTTTAATTTATTTTTTTTACGACTTTCTTGCTATGGTATTTTGATTCGCGAATTTCAGGACACCCTGTATATACAGGATGATTCAGGACCTCACCGACAAACTTTGAGGAACGATAGGTCTGCAGAAAGAATAATTTTTTGTCGAGCAACCCAGGCGCTACGCGACCGCGAAGGTCCTAGGTGACATTTATTACAATTGTGAAATGAATTTATCTACGTAGGCCCGACTTGACCGCCCATTGATTCTTTTCTCCGGGGACATGTGAAGAGTGTCGTGTATACCACACCAGTCACCGCTGCTTTCGACCGAATTCAAGAAAGACCTCGAATATTCGATAGAGTCCGACAATCGATGTTACAATGATGTATTGAATGCAATCGGGGTTCAGGGTAGACACTTTGAACACCTTCTGTAAAGCAAGTGTACTTGAAATAAATAAATTATTTATTTTAGAATTGTAATAAATGTCGGTCGCGTAGCGCCTAAACGACGCGTCAGAGGACATGGGTTGCTCGATAAAAAAATCATCTTTTCTACGAGACCTGTCGTTCCTCAAAGTTTGTCGGTGAGGTCCTGAACCACCCTGTATATATCTACATTAAGAGTCTAACTTGTATATAATTTTATATAAAAATATTTATTTATATAAACTTTCAAGTTATTAACAACCACATAAGAATTATATGTAAATTACAAGTATATACATACACAAGTATGTATATATATTAGCGTATATTTTCCTGAATAAGTTTCCTTGAAGCCAATTTTCGAAATGTGCATATTTCAATTTATGTAATACGCCGATAACAAATTTTGTAAAATGTAATATAAATGTATACAGTAAACGCTTCAGGTATCAGTGCTTCGAGTTCGACCTCTTCCAACAAACGAGGAAGTTCTAAAATCCACAATAATGAAATGGCGATATGATCGTCGATTTTGCATTTCCTTCACTTAATTCCAGTAATAAAGCGTTGCGAGAGACAAGGAAAGCGCTCTCTAGAAACAACGTAATTAAAAGTGAGCGTGAGCGTTACTTGTCGCAATGAGTTTCAAAGATCCTGTTGAACACCGGCTGTATTTGCTCCAGCATATCCGAGGCCAACATTCCCCTTTGTCGTATCTTGAAGGCCGACGCGTTGCATTCCCGGATCAGTCTCGACGCGGCGTAGCACGCCACTATCGAGGGCGACAGGGCGCACTCGCTGGTTCCCGAGGAGATGGCCCACCACCAGAATACCGCCAACGAGCCGGACAAGAGGTCTCCCTGGCCGCCGCACCTTCTCCCGGAGCCAGCCAATCCACACGACACGGTCTCGGCGCCCTTGTGACCGTCCACGATCACGTCCTTCGCTCCCTTGTGCAGAATTATCACGTTCTTCCCGAAAGCCTCCGCTACGTGTTTGACGTCGGAAACCTTGACTATCGAAGCAGGCGGGACAGACCTGTCCAGGACCGCTTTGACCAAACGACTGAACTCCATCGCGTTAGGCGTCAGGATGACTCCAGGGTAGTCCTTGACGATCTCCGGCTTCTGGCAGACCAGGAACAGACCGTCCGCGTCGATAACCAGCGGCTTCCTCGCCTCTCGGCAGATCGTTATCAGCTCGACGATGATCTTGAATGTCCCCTCGTCCCTGCCGAGCCCGGGCCCGATCAGGATGACGTGCAGACGATCGAGCCAGGGTTTTATCTGCTTTATTGCGTCCTGCTGGTCCAGGACCGGGTGGACTATCGGCTCAGGACTGAACGACTTGATGGGGACGCTGGCGTCCTTGGCGCAAAACACGTGAACGAGATCGGCCCCGGTTCTCAGCGCGCTCATAGCCGCGAAGTACGGTGCCCCCGTGTACTCTGCGCTGCCGCCGAAGATCCCGATTCTGCCGTCTTGACCCTTGTACTTGCTGTTGATCAAACTCGGCACGACCTTCCGTATTCCCTTCAACATACGCTCGTCCGTGGACGACGACGCGGACATCGTGGGCACTGACGCAAATCTAACGTGTCGCCTGCAGAGAAAATTACTGATAACAAGTGCCATCCTCGAGTCGCGAGGGAGAACCCCTCTTAAAGCGTATTGGCGTACATACATCGTCCCAAGAAATTAACTACAAGTCTCTCACGAGGAAAAAGCGATATGAAAATCTTACAGCTCAAATTGTCTACGCTCCACGAGCGTCGCTTATCTCGGTCTGCAATAACAACTGACAAAATTATTCCCCGGCGCCGCCTCGCGCGATAAAAGGTGTCGAGCAAGAGGCACGAATGTTGCCGAGTGAAAATACACTCGTCGCTCTTGCGCCGTTACAACTGCTTTGATATCTCGCGTCGGAACGAGTCCGTTCTCTAGTCGTTAACGCCATAACTTACGAATAATTTCCCCGTCACGGGAAGGACAGCGGTGGACAATGCGAGGCACAAGCGTAGCTGGCAACGATCTCGCGTATCGTGGTCCGCTTATCAGCCAATTAGCATACTGGTGATTTGCGCTACCGAAAAGTTGGCGAGTCAGACGCGAGGATGCCGGCGCTACTTCAAGATGTAATACGTTCTGCGCACATGATATTACATTATTATTGTACAATATATGTTGCAATAATGATATTTCGTAAACGTAATATGTGAGATAGCTGGAAAGGTCGCAACTGACGAACGAGAAGCTACGTCTTTCCTGTCGGAGAAAAATATCTGCGGAAGTCTCGCTGCGATCGGGTCTCGAATCGATTCCACTGCAAAGCGGAGGGATGGTGTCCGAGCGATTTGCATTCGCGTGATCGTGGCTTCTTCGCGGGAAAGAGAGACGCCGATCAAGAGAAGCACAGCGATGTCTCCGACTTGCATAAATTTCGGCTCTTTTGATTATTTGTGTCTTCAACCTGTTGACGCTCTAGGTTCTTCGACGGCAAATCGTCCGCCATGTACCGCCGCTTATTCGAGTCATTCGAGTAGTCTTTCCTGCTTTTTTTTTGCCGGAATTTACAAACAGCCTTCAAAGGTCGCGTATCCTCGCGTCGAGAACAGTCGAGAAGTCAGTTCCGACTTCCCTGAAGCGAGAGGGACGCCTTAAGGCCTGTGTCCACGGTGCTAGAACTTGATCCAAGCTCTAGTTCCGAGAAATGCGTAGCCAATCAACTTGCAGCTTTTATGGAATAGCTGCGAGTTGATTGGCCACACGTTTCTCGGGACTAGAACTTTGGACACAGGCCTTTAGGCAGTCAAGCCCGCACTTTAGGAACGCGAATCGACGATTACCGACCGCTCCGAGCTCGACCAATCGAGCGCCGCCGGTCTCCGTCCACCTCGCTCCGATTGGTCGAACCTAACCTCCAATTCTCGACGCTGCGCCGACACGGGTCCTTTTCGTCGAGCACGTCGCCGCGTTCGTGTCTATCGGTAGCTGGTGGCATCCGACGGGGTATTCCTTGGTAAAATGAGTCTCGGCAAGGTACGTGCTTCCGCAGGCCATTCCGCTTCGATTCGACGCGGCCCCCGAAGTTTCGACCAGCGCGCAAAATGTCCAGCGTGGACGTTTCTCAAGCTTTAATACGCGACAGATTTCTTTCCCCCCCTTGGTCGCACGTGCTCCGCATTTGTGCCGACGATTCCGTCAAGCCTCGCGATCCTCGTTACGAGTTAACGGTCTCACCCTTGACTGCTCTTTCAGATGCTGACGACAAACGCGAAGATAATCAAGAGCAGCGGGGCCGAGCCCGACCAGTTCGAGGTTAGCGTTTCCCAGGCGCTCCTCGAGCTGGAGATGAACAGCGACCTCAAGTCGCAGCTGAGGGAGCTCTACATCACGAAGGCGAAGGAGATCGAGACGAACAACAAGAAGGTGAGGTTTCGTTTCCCGCACCCCGTTCTCTCGTCTCTCTTCGATGTGCCTTTGTGTCAAGATTTTTAGCTCCCTCCTCCCCCCCTCCCCCTTCCCCGAAGTTTCCTACATTTTTTCCTTTACTTCAAATTGAAATACTCTCGAGACGGATTGTCGCTTTCGTGCTCCTTTACGCGCGATCCTCAATTCTCCGCTTAACTTCTTATAGAAGCGAAATGAGCAAATATATAAATTTACACGTACGAGATAGAAATCAGAATCGAACGTAAAACTTAGAGCTACGAATCAACTGCTCTTGCATAAAGCGTGCCACAAATTATCCTGAATTTCTTGCATTGAAATTCTTTCGTTTTTTTTTTCTTAAGACGCTCTTCTTCCGAACCTTCTTTTATCAATAGAAGCGCCTCTAAAGGCCTGTGTCCACGATGCTAGAAGCTGGTCCAAGTTCTTGTTTCGAGAAACGTGTAGCCAATCAACCTGCGGCTATTTCATAAAGCTGTAGGTTAATTGGCCACATATTTCTCGGCACTAGAACTTGGACCAAGTTCTAGCATCGTGAACAGAGGCCTTTGAAGGCTTGTAGTCAATTAGATGGCTTATGAGCTACGTTTAGTGGCTTTGTACTCTGTCATTTTCGACGACGATTGCTGACTCAGGTGCGTTGCTGAACCGTTAACTATTTAACTAAATCCTATTAATTAATTTATTCATTTATTAACCTACATTGTATTTAATAACCTACATTGTTCATAATTGCGTTGATGTTGTTGATTTGCAGTATCACTCGAAAAGGACCCAAAATAATAGGGTCGAAACGTTGTGTAATAAACTAATTTAACAACTAGCCAGTTGGGTTGACTATAAGTTTCCCATCTCGAGCTTTGTTTTTGCCTTGTATATCTCTGCACACAGATAATTGATTTTAACGTAAAGAATTATTTAACGCCAGTAATTGATTAACCAATGTAGAAAATTGCACGACGACCTATGGCTGGCAAATTCTAATTAAAGAAATTCATTGCGAAAAATATTACCTCAGCCAGGGTTTGAGCCTGGACCTCCCTACACTCTAGGCCTCGGGTGGTCTCAACCAGTTCGACCACCGAGACCTAGAGTGTAGGGAGGTCCAGGTTCAAACCCTGGCTGAGGTAATATTTTTCGCAATGAATTTCTTTAATTAGAATTTGCCAGCCATGGGTCGTCGTGCAATTTTCTACATTGGTTAATTGATTTTACTGAAGATATTATTTATATCTTGCTATATAAAATATTACAGTGCATTAATTAGATTCAGATAATAATTAGGGATAGACAAAAATTATTCGATTTAACATCGATGCTCTTTATTGATACGTAGAGGTGTGACATTAGGATGTTATTTTTTTGCATCTTTTGCGTTTTGTTTTTCCGGATTTTGCGTTATTTTGATAATGTTTTTGATAATGCCGTGGTCGGAGGTGGGCAGGGCTTCAATAAAACGACTTAGGCCCGGCTTTACCAACGTCGCTTAACTTTAAACTTACAATTAGTTTAATTCGTTCTTTGTCTCTTTCCAACTGTTGCTTTAGAAAAAGGCAAAGAACGAATTAGGCTAAGCTTAAAGCTAAACAACGTTGGTGAAACCGGACCTTAATGTTTTGATACAACAATTTACGACATTTATTAAGGCTAAACGTATGTTAAAAAATGTAACATAAGACATAACATATTAAAATAGCATGGAACAAATTACATATTATTTTCAGGCTACAAAAGCAATAATATGTCTTAAAAAAAGTAAACAATACTAGTCTTAGGCATAAAATCTCTTTGGTTTAGATACAACATTGACGTTAGAAAAATTGGGCATAGATCTCTTTGGTTTAGGATACAACATTGACGTTAGAAAAATTGGGCATAAATCTCTTTGGTTTCGGATACAACATTGACGTTAGAAAAGTTTACTAAGGAAAATTGCGATTTTTGACGTTATTGGACGCTATTTTGCGTGTTGAGGGTCATTTTGCGTTTTAAAAACGTGTTAAAACAAAATCGGGGACTCCAAAATGTAAAGAAATTGCATTAAAAACATGCCTGGGGCATTTTGCGATATTTTGTGTATAAAGATAATCGAAATGTCGCACCTCTATTGATACGACACGAACCGAATTATTGCGCCGCAGCGTTCCTTGAGGAAACTGCATTGTGACAGAGTACCTTTTGTTTCTCACAGTCAATCATTATATACGTACCCATGCCGAAGCTGAAGACCTTCCAGAAGATTCAGACGCGGCTGGTGCGCGAACTGGAGAAGAAGTTCTCCGGGAAGCACGTGATGTTCATTGGCGAGCGTAAAATCTTGCCCAAGCCGACGAGGAAAACGCGAACCAAGAACAAGCAGAAACGCCCGAGGAGGTAAGAAACCAGAGGAAGTAAAAGTAACACTTTGAATTTCACGACAAATTGAACGATTGCGTTTACGATTTGTGTTCCATTAATGGGACCGTCAGCGGAGTCTCGCGTGTAATATGCGCGCTTTTAATTTTACACGACACGTTTTCTTCCAGCCGCACTCTGACTTCGGTCTACGACGCGATATTGGAGGATTTGGTGTATCCTGTGGAAATCGTTGGCAAGCGTATCAGAGTCAAGCTCGACGGGTCGCAGCTTATCAAAGTTCATCTTGATAAAAATGAGCAGACGAACATCGAGCACAAGGTATAATTACATTATCTCGCACGGAGTGTCGCTTCTTGTGTATTACGTGGCAATAAGTGATGTAAAACTTGATAATACCTTCCAGGTCGACACCTTTGCTTCAGTGTACAAGCAGCTGACTGGACGGGACGTCACGTTCGAATTTCCTGAATCCTATGTATGATGAATGTAGGAGAAATAAAAGTATTTTAATCTACGTTTTAATCTAGTCGCGCATCGCACTTTTCGTCTGCCGTTTCGTTCATTAGTTGGGTTGTTATAGAAATGTTCTGCGATGCCATCGTCGGAGATAGAACACGACGTGTAGAAACCTCCGTAAAATTTATTTACAGAGGAACCAAGTGGCGTCCTTCGGTTTACGCCAATCGATTGAATTTCAAGTTTTAAATAGACTTCTAAGCCGTGTTAAGAAGGTGGGTAACTTGTAATGGCTCTCGCAGACAAACGCGACACGCGATTATCCAACGGGCGCAGTCTTTGTGGGAAAACTACGCTTTTCTAGAAAATCTGCACATTGGTAAATCGCGTTGTCGCGCTGGTCTGCAAGAGCCATGACAAAATAGGAAGGGTTTATCCGGACAAGCTTGCACAGGTGCATAAGCGTATGCATAAATTGATTTGCCCATTTCCTTATGCATTTATGGTCCTATCAGATTCCCTGTGCGTGCGTTTACGCGCTGTGCAATTCTCGCAAGACAGAATGTCGAATTGAATGTTCGAGCTCGAAAGTTTGCGTGTCAAGTGATTTCACCACTTCTGGTTAATTTTTGCAAAATTTAATTTTCAAGTTACATTTTTATGTACACGGGTGTTTGTAAACCTATGGATTCACACATGATTAGCAAACCCTATTCCAATTTTAGAGAATAATCTTTTATAAATAACTTTTTGTTCTCTCTTTCTTTGCTTTCTATATTTAAAACGGGATAAATATGTGTGTTTTCAATCATTGGAGAAAAGGACAAAGATTAGATACAGAGACCGTGGTGCAACCCTTACGGAAAAAACACTCAAGTTTTGAGTGTTAACACTCGATTGTCCGAATTTACTCTCAAATTTGGGCATAAACACCCAGATTTAGGTATTTACACAATTTGCACTCAAATTTGAGTATAAAAGGACAATCGAACGTTAATTAACACTCAAGACTTGGTGTTTTTTCCGCAAGGAAAGTCCCAAGCCTTAAGCTTTAAGAAATTGACCAATCACGGTCAAGTATGAGTAGATATACTGTGATTAGTTTCTTAAGGCTTAGAGTTTAAATTAACTAACAAAAATTGCATTTGACAAAAAAAAGACACCTATAAAATTCACTACGCGGAGTAAAGTGTAGGAAGTGCACGAACAGATCCGTCGTAAGAGATGGTCGGTATTGCCGGTATCGCTGACATGACAATTCAAGCGACATGGCGTTCACGTTGTGGACACTCTTCGAGGCAACTCTGTTGTGCTTGAACGCGATCTGCATCTTGAACGAGGAAAGATTTCTCGCCAAAGGTAACAACTGAGCACGCGTTTGTTATCTCTATTTACTTCAATTCGCTTCGACTGTTCCTTCAAGTGCGAAAGTCACTAGTGTTGTAGGTTATAATTTTCAAAATTCCGAAACAACTCTTTCCTGCCCCCTTCCGAAAGATTGACAGCATCGTTACGTTTGATCAGAAATTCTTCAGGGTCGCCAGCAAAAATTAGCGACATCAAAGTTTTGGTTGACCATATCTGGCAATTTTAATGGTTTGGTATCGCGACGTTTCGACCATGGGTCTTGGTCCTTTTCAAGCGATCGTAACTGATACAAAATAAATTTTACAAATTAGTAAAGTCATCACATCTGAGATAATAAGTTGGCGGTTATATAAATTGTGTGTCATCTGTGGTAGTCGTGTACATAGAATCACATGTATTATGGTGGTGTTGAGAGCGTTACGTTTGTCGTTAGTGTTGAATAACTTTTTGTTTTTTCATTTTACAGTCGGCTGGGCGTCGTGGCAGAATGTACAAGGATTCGGGGAACCACCAACGGCCAAGTCACAAATGTTGAACCTCATCAAGTCGATACGAACTGTGATGAGGGGTAAGTGTCGCGAGAGACTGACGACCCGTGCTCACCCTCGCATCTTCTTTTCTACAATAACGCTTTAACTTTCAGTTCCTCTGATATTCTTCAATGTTCTGACGTTGATCATAAAGCTGGTGCTCGGCTGACAGGGAAGAGATACACGAATGTACGAGTGGAATGCGTCGGTGTGCAGGTCCAAGTTGTTGAAAATGTGTGTGTGTGCGAGGAGACCTAGTAAATTATTTTTACCTTCGCAATCGGTTTTTACCTTGTGCATAATTTCTTTTTCCGCACTTCAGGACGCACGAATGGATTTGAGTGAATTTCTGTATGAAATGAGCAATGTATAATATATGTATCTTTTTCACGTTTTAGCTTAATTATAACAACATCCTGTGATGCAAGCGTGAAAAACGCAAGTCGATCAACCTGGCGCTTCGTTCAATTTAACTGAGATCACTAAATTTATCCCTCTTCCTCGCGTTGTATTCCCCAGTGCTGATGACTGTGACTACTCATGAGGGGGGGGGGGGGGTTTCTTGGGACAATTGTGGTGAGGTTTCACGTCCTTCCACGCCAGTCTTTTTAGGGGGAATTTAATACTTCACGGCCACTGAGCTCTGAAGCCGCTGCGTAAGGGAAATTGACCTAATCAAACGAGACGTCGCCTCTCTCTCCCCTAGAGAGCCTTGAGTCATCACTTCCTCTCGAAGATACTATTATATTTGTCGTACGACAAAAAAGCTATTAGAAATATGTTTTTATTGAAAATTAAAAATTTTACGTTTTTTGTTAATATTTCGAAAACTATTGATTTTAAAAGTGGAGCAATTGTGGATTCTAATGGAGCACTTCGGGAGCAATCGTTTGAGCTAGGTTTTATAAGAAAATATGAACTCCCAGCGCCAACTTAATTCCGGTAATTATTTATCCATTAGATACCACAGAGTGGAATTTTCGAATTCTATAGGTTCTTACCTGCAGATCATTGTCGATTGTGCATGTGCGATTTTAGGTATCTACCTACTTTTAGGTTGTCTACCGACTCACGAGAGGCCACTAGGATCAGTAAATTACTTCACGATTCGCAACTCTGCATCATAGATGGGACTAGATAGCGTCGTGCTAACACGATTCCATTTTTTATTATTAATTTCTTTCCAAATGAAAAGTTAGACATTGAGGTCCCTTTGTTCTCGGCTAAACAAATTATATTTGCAATATTCTCAGAAAGCCGTCGATAGCAATTTGCATTACTTTTATCAATTTTTAATTCTAAAAATATATACATAAGATTAAATGTTAAGTGATCAGTAAATATATTACTTATCGTTACACATTTAATATTATTACTAATTATCAAATATAATACACTTAAAATAATTAGGTGTTCATAAATCAATAACTTTTTGTTTATATTAAAATATTAAAATGTACATAAATCTCACAATTGCATTTTAGATATGGCAATAAGATGAAAAAATGAGTTTAATAATATTGCCTCTCGTTTCTAGCTCCAAGCAAATGGTTTAAAATTCAATTGAATTAAAATTTCTGCTCCTTCCCAGTGAGAAATGATTTGTCGATCGATGTCGAAACAATCGTCGAATCGACATCGACACCATCGAGTTGATGTCGATTCGACATCATTTCGACGTTGATCGACGAATCATTTCTCACTGGGTTACGTGTACCAGCAACTTTCGACGAGCTCGCGAGGAAAGCTCTGTCTCTAATTTTCTTTTTCCTTTAATCGCTCATTAGTCAGAAACTATTCGGCCAATTTTTTTTCACCGTTCTGTCGCCATTTACGCGTCGCGAAAGGACTAAGAAACCGGTTTAAAAGGATATACGTCTTGCGTAATCCTTCGCGGGCGAGTTAGGCATTTGCGCCTAGCAGCTGGAGGCGATCGGTAGTCCAGGCCGTATCCGAGCTTCCGCTCATTTCCATTTCAATTATTCCTTCTCGGATCATTTAAATCGTAAATCGTCTGGTCAACGGCCAGCGTCGTAAATAAATCGTCGCGGAAGATCGCCGGCCGCGGCCGGCGCTTTCCTCCTCGCGGATTTACGAACGATGCAGCGACGCTCGGGGAAGACGCTCCATGATTTTTCCCCAACTTTCTCCCCTTCCTCGGCTTTCTCGGGATGAAAGAAGCGCCTCGCCAGGCCCAATCAATGACTGTTACACCGTGTGTCCGTACGTGCGTGTTTCGCCGTGTGCGAAAGCACGTGAGGACTTGTTAGCATTATTAAACGTGACTTGCGCGAACCACGCTCGCACAATCGTTGCAACAGTTCACTACATTTCCTTCATGTTCTATCTTTTCCTTTTCTTTTTTTTTGTTGCCGTGTCTCGATCACGCTGCCGTCACCTGAGACTTTTCACGATGAGGAAAACCGCAAATCGTAATTTCTTCTAGCGCTTTTCTAGAGACTTCTAGCTCTTTTCTAGAGAGAGGCAGCTTTTTAGCTGACGTACAAGTCGTTTTTACAATTGTCGCGAGACTGGAAATTTTGTGTAATAGCGTTAGTACGTCCTGTCGATTTTTAAATGTAAAATCTATTGATTTTATTTAAAATGTATAATAATCCCTGGTAGCACAATGTATTGGCGCAATATTGAAAAATAATGTAAATCTAGTATTCCCAATATTGATCCAATATTGTAAGATGGGTGCCTTCTCTTATTTAGCCAGTATGTTTATTTAGCAATATTGGTCTAATATTGTATCAATATTAAATCAATATTGTAAGATGGGCGCCTTCTCTCAATTTAGCCAATATGTTTATTTAGCAATTTTGATCTAATATTGTATCAATATTAGACCAATATTCTTATGACGTTAATTGTTAAATATTGGCTTTACGTTGGACAATATAATTTCTAATATAATTAACATTGGATCAATGTTTAACCAATGTACTGTGCTACTAGGGATACTTTATTGATCTCGCATAGGATTGTAAGATCCTCCATTGATTCTGTTCAGAAAGTTACGTTTATCTCTTTATAAAGTGGGCAATCAACCGAACGAAATTCTATTTGTTCAAAAATCGCATTTATTCATCACGTGGTTATGGAATTCTTAACATCTACTTCTACCAATCTGTCTATAATATCGAGTTGATCCACAAGCGGATTTTTGTCTAGTTGACACTGGCATGTTATCTTTAAATCTGCACTAATTAATTAATATTAATAATATCATCTATTCCATAAAAGCTGCAAGCTGGTTGTCCACACATTTTTCGGAACTAGGACTTGGACCAAATTCTAGTATCGTGGACCCAGGCCATTCACCTTTAACCCTTCACCTATTTCCAATTCTATTGGTGGAAATGTAAATCAACTTTAATCTCACTTGATACCAATGTAGGTCTACGAATTAGAAAAAAAAGATAAAGAGTAAATTGAACTTTCAGATTAAAGTTAGTCTACATTGGTAGAAACGGACATAAGTAAGCCAGAGTTACAATCGTCCGCTCGGCGTTATCGCTCGGAGGATTTACGAACGTGAGGAGAGCGCCGATGATCCTGCGTGAGGTAACATAACGGCACGGTCGTTTTTACGCCAATCCCCCCAGCGGCGCGCGAGATGCAACGTCGATGACGGTTGTGCAAGCGTCTCTCGTCCAATTTTACCGTACATCGCAATGTGTTCGCCGCTGAAACGGTCCGACCGTCCCGGTCCGTTCGATTCAGGACACGCGCGCGCCGATTCACCGCGTACTCCTCGCTTACAATTAGCTCCTCCGCTCACGCGGCAGAGGAGACGCTTGCGAAACCTCCCTTCGGGGAGATTCCTCACGAGCAGAAGAAATCGCGCGATGGGACCGTGAGACCGGCGTGGACGTAATTAGCATGATTTCGGGAGTCGACGTTTGTAAAAACCTGTGTTCACGATGCTAGAACTTGATCCGAGTTCCAATCCCGAGAATGCAATGTTAGGAGCCGGCTAGACCCGGTTTCTCTTTCTCTCCCCGCAAGCGATTCTCGTTGTCGCTGTGAGATAACCGGAAGCTAATCTGAAAGACGGTAACCGCACGAGCATTAAGGCCCGTATCCACGTTGCTAGAAGTTGGCCCAGGTTCTAGTTTTGAGAAATGTAGTCAACTTGCAGCTATTCCATAAGAGCTGTCCCATACAGCACAAACTTCCAAGGGACGTCCTCAGAACATCTTTAGGACGTCCTTAGGACGTAGAATGTCCTAAAGACGTCCTAAAGATGTTCTGAGGACGTCCCTTGGAAGTTTGTGCTGTATGGGTAGGTTAATTGGCTACACATTTCTCGAAACTAGAACTTTGCACGCATTATTCTATGAAGAAGTTCGTAGCTCCCGAATGATTCAAAGATAGGTGTTTACAATTATTTTCTATGCTATTCCCGTGTCTCTCTCTTCCTCTCCTTCGTATCTCGCCGGATGAAATCACTCATTGTCAGTCGACAGGAACAACACGTCGCGTCAGATTGATTTATCGCGAATTGCAGCATCCAATTAAGATTCGCGCAATTTAACGATGCGTAATCTGACGCAATTCTGCGTCGCAGTGTTACGAAAAAAAAAACAAGGCGAAGACAAACGGGAGGAGGGGATGAGAGCAATACGTCGGTGGTGTCCTCACGATTCTTTCCTCAGACCGACGCACCGCCAGGGTGGTCTATTGTTTAGCAATATGCGTGTATTCCGCACGAGGCCCTCCCTGCCAAAGGTCCCCGTGCAGAAACGGGGACCGGCGAAAGTGCGTGGGGGAGGACCGGCAGCCATTGTGCGTTCGGTCCATTATATTTTGCGCGGCTCGACAAATGATCTCCTTCCCATAATTGGAAACAGCAACATTGTTAGTAGCGTTGGTACATCGTGCACTTCCTCCCTCGGCGCTCCTCTCCTTTTCGCACGGATCTTCCTAGGGTTCTTTCTTTTCTTTTCTCTTCCATCGATCAGTGACGCTTTTGGAACTTTTGGTCTACTCCGAAACTCTTTCGGCGAGGCTCGAAAAGCTCCCGCCTTCTTCGACAACGTCAAGTGCCAAGTTAAATTTATTTCCGAGCGTATTTCACCGCGTAAGGACCTGGGCAGAAAGATTGTCGTAACCGTTTACGATTCTGTCGTAAGACTTAAATCCATGTCGGAAGTCAACGCACAAAGAATTGTAGATGTATATCGCATTTATCGCATCTCAAGGCGACGTACGTTTACGACAATTCTTTGTGCGTTGACTGTTGACGTTTCCCTTATGAAAAAATACACTCAATCATACATTGACGGTCCGAAATAACCATCAAATTGAGTGTAAACCTTCATGAAACACTCGATTATGAAGGTTTACACTCAATTTGATGATTATTTCGGACCGTCAACGTATGATTGAGTGTATTTTTTCATAAGGGTTACTTAATTCTTACGACAGAATCGTAAACGATTA